GCAGGACCGGCTCCCAGCGGCTTGTCTGAAAATAGTGATTTTCCTTACTTAGCAGTTTGTTAAAACCGGTGTGAATGGAAAAATAGAAGTGGATTTAAACACGTTGTCTTGGTGATGGATTTGACTGTTTGCTGCTCAGTTTGTGGTGAAAGGGGATACATTTACCATCTGCCTGGAGTTGATTGATAACGCCCATGTCAGCGTTGCGCTTCCGGAATGTTAAATAGCTGCTCCCAACCTTCACTAATCTTTTCCCAAAACAGCAGGAGCTGTTTAAATGCCAAGCTCTCGGCGTCTCAGCCTGTCCAACCGAGGTGGAGTTCTGCAGCGGGGAAGTGCAAATGTTGAAAGACGTCCTGACACTCCCTGGCTTCAGCCTGTAGGACAGTAAATATTTTAAGAGCTCATCTGGTTGAGTTTGTGTCTCCGAGCCACTGGCCGAGCAGCTCGCCTCGGGTGGGAGGTGAAGGGCAGGGAGCACCTCGTGCCGCCGTAACGGGCAGCGGGGACCTGCTCTGGCTTTTGTGGCTGCTCGCGCTGTTCCTGTCTCAGAGGAGAGGGCTACGCGTGCCTGCCCGGGTTGGGAAGGGGTCGGCTTTTTGCTGGTTTTTCCTCCAAAGCAAGGCTGGATGGATAGTGTTTTCCAGCGGGGAAAATGCTCCTCTAGTGCACCATTCAGCTGCGCCTCCGTCCCTGGCTCCGTGGGCCTCCTGCCCTCTCCAGCAGCAGCAACGCGGCTCTGAAGCGTTTTCCCTGTGTGTAAGCCCAGCCCCATCGCCTTCCTGAGCGGCAGCGGTGCCGTCTCACCGGGTCCAGGGTGGTTGCTGGCTTTCCATCACCCCGAGGAGGAAACAGGGCGTTGGTGCCTGGAGCGGCATCCCCGGCGAGCGGCCAGGGAGGTGGCAGCTCCCGTACCTGCGCTGGGACACGAGAGTGGTGCCCGCACGCATCTCCCAGGCCCCTGTTTGTGAGCAAAATCCCGGCTGAGAATGAGGATGCTTGGGGAACAGTTTGTGTGGGCACCGGCTTTGGCGCCCGCCGAGGCTGCTGCCAGGGCTGGGGGCTGCGTGGGCCACACGGACCCATTAATTTGATGACAGAGAAGCCTTTTT